ATAGAGCATGCTGATTTGAGAATTCCGTATATTACTCAGTGCCTACAACCACAGTACTCTCCTAGAGTCCTTTTTATTTCTGTAAAATCTCCACTTTCATTTCTGATTTTAGTAATTTGAGTCTTCTCTCTCTCTTTTAGTCTATCTAACAAGGTTTTTCAATTTTTTTTATCTTTTCAAAGAACCACTTTTTGTTTCATTTGATTTTTCTCTAATGTTTTTGTATTCTGTGTTTCATTGATCTCTAAGTCTTTATTATTCCCCTCACTTGGGGTTTAATACTTTAAAAAAAACTAAAAAAGTTTCTTTAGTTGTAAAATCAGGTTGTAGATTTAATATTTTTTTTTTTAGATTTTTACCCAACATGGGCCTCAAACCCACAACCCCAAGATCAAGAGTAAAAAGCTCCACCAACTGCACCAGCCAGATGCCCTTCTTTCTTATTTTTTAAGGTAAGCATTTATAACACTAAATTTCCCCGTAAGCACTACTTTTTCTGTGTTCCATAAGTTTTGGGATGTTGTATTTTCATTTTCATTCATGTCTTAAGTATTTTCTAATTTCCCTTTGATTTCTCTGATCCATTGGTAATTTAAAAGTATATTGTTCACAATTTGGTGACTTTTCCAATTTTTTGTTACTGATTTCTAAATTCATCAAGGAAGATAGTTTGTATGATATCTTTTAAGATCTGTTGAAACTTAATTTGTGACTTATGGTCTCTCCTTAAAAATGTCCTATGTGCCCTTGAGAAGAATGTGTATTCTGTTGTGTAGAGTGTGCCTTATATGTTGGCTTATTGTGTTAAATCCTCTGTTTCCTTAGTTATCTTCTGTCTGGTGGTTCTATCCGTTATTGTGAATGGGGTATTAAAGTCTCCTAATTTCCCGGAATATCTTTTCTCCATCCTTTCAATTTCAACCGTTTGTGTCATTGGATCTCAAGTGAGTCTCTTGTAGACAGCATCTAGTTCAATCGTGTGTGTGTGTGTGTGTGTGTGTGTGTGTGTGTGTGTGTGTGTGTGTGTGGTTTTTTTTTTTTTTAAGATTTTATTTATTTATTTGACAGAGAGAGACACAGTGAGAGAGGGAACACAAGCAGGGGGAGTGGGAGAGGGAGAAGCAGGCTTCCTGCTGAGCAGGGAGCCCGATGCGGGGCTCAATCCCAGGACCCTGGGACCATGGTATCATGACCTGAGCCCAAGGCAGACGCTTAACGACTGAGCCACCCAGGCGCCCCATCAGATGGAATGATTTCTATCATCTTATCTTCAAGTTTGCTGATTCTTTCTTCTACTTGCTCAAATCTGCCTTTGAATCCCTCTAGTGAATTTTTCATTTCCATTACTGTGCTTTTCAGTCCCAGAATTACTGTGGTTTTCTCTTTAGTTCTATCATTTCCATTTTGTTCACACATTTTCTTGACTGTCTCTACATCCTCTTGTTCTTTTGAGGTCTTTAAAACACATTGTCTAAAGTCTTTGTCTACTATATCTGCCATTAGGTCTTTCAGGGACAGTTTCTGTTTTTTTCCTTTGAGTGCCCCATATTTTCCTCGTTTTCTATGCATTGTGATTTTTTCAACAGCAGACATTTGAGTCTGATAATGTTGTAACTCTGGGAGTCAGATTCTCACCCTTTTCCAAGTTGTGCTGGTTTTACTGGTTATTGTTTTTGTTCCTTAAATTGTTGCAGGCTGTGTCTGTGCTGAGGATTAGCCTGAGGTGTAAACCTAAGGTCTTCTCAGGTCTTTTCTGAGCCTCTCCCTGGGCATGCATAGTCACTTTCTAGTTTTCTCTGTATATGCAATCAATTTTTAAAAAATATCCTAGTTTTTAATGTCTCCCCAAAGGGGAAAAAGTGAAAAATGTACGAAGTGGGGTGGGGAGCATGCCAGTGCTTTAAATCCTACCCTGGCAGTCAATTCAGCCTCAGCTGGAGAAACTTACAACAATGGGGGGAGGTGACACCGGCTGCCCGCCCCTGCACCTCTGGCCAGAAGCAGCAGTCAGCATACATTTCTGATATTTCAAGAGTCTTTTTGCCCACCCAGGTTCCTGCAAGCTGTTGCAAGCTGCTCCATGAATATGGCTAGTGGTGGGGTACTTGCTACTGTGCTAGGAGCCGAAGTTGACGCAAATTGCCGGCAATGGACAGTCCTGGTTCTCCCTGGAAGTTACAGGCCTTTAGACTCTGGAGTTCTAAAATGGTTACATCAGACCAATTCTGCCTGTTCAATTGGTGTCTAGGTCCGGAGAGATTTCTGGTGCTTCTCATTCCACCATCTTTCCAGAATCTTCTTAAACTTCACCTATTCCTCATCACTTGAAATCACCTGAATCAGTACTAAATTTCTACATGAATTTGAACCTGTTTCTGTTCTAGGATTTGGTTTTTTTGCATCTATGGCAGTTTTTAATTGCTGTTATAGCTTGATATTTTCCTGTTAAGAGACTATTGCCCTCATTGCTCCTTCAGAATTTCCTTTTTTTTTCCCCCATTTTTTCCTACATGAACTTTAAAGTTAGCTTGTCTGGTTCTTGGGGGTAAATGGTTATTGGGATTAAGTTTAAAAATTGGTTAAATTAAGTACAGACTATAACACAGAGACTTCGATCCAAAAACATGGTTTTATGCCTTCCCATTTGTTCCAGTGGTCTTTGTGTCCCAGTTTTCAAATTTTTATCACTTTAGGTCCTACAGATTTTAGAAGGTTCACCTCCTGAATATTCTTTCCTTTTGTTAAAACATATATATATACACACACATATATAATCTGTATATGTTTTATTATTTTTAAGATTTTATTTGAGAGTGCACACACACAAGCAGGGGGAGGGGCAGAGAGGGAGAAGCAGACTCCCCGCTAAGCAAGGAACCCAACTCGGGGTTCCACCCCAGGACCCTGGGATCATGACCTGAGCAGAAGGCAGATGCCTAACCAACCGAGCCACCCAGGCCTCTATACCCACTGTGGGGCTTGAACTTATGACTCCAAAATCAAGAGTTGAATGCTCTTCCAACTGAGCCAGCCAGGCCACCCCACCTCTGTTATATTTTCTAACTGTAGTTGCATGTAGGAAAGCCACTAACTCCAGTTATTATGTTGAATGTTTTTCAGAGTAGCTTTTAGTTGATTCTGTTGACATACCTGAAAAAAAAGTTTTGTTTCTGTTTTTAAGTAATCTCCATACCCAACATGGGGCTTGAACTCAAACCCCCGAGACTGAGTCACATGCTCCACCAAACCAGCCAGGCAACCTGAAGGTTTTGACTCCTTGTCTAACTTTTTTGTTGGACAAAACTAATTTGTCTAAATGTTTAATTGTAACTTAATCCTTTGTCTAAATGCTCCAAGTAGTATACCCAGGATATTAACTATGGTGAGTAAATATCTCAAACCTAAGGAGTATGTGGAGTGTTTGATTTAGCAGGTTAACTTTACCATTTTAATGAGGTTAATGAGAATCCACCTACTCCTATTTTAAGAACTTGTATCTGAAATGAATTGTAGATCTCAATCCCAGAGATGATTTTCCCCCCCTTATCATTTGGCTTATTCTTGGTATGAGCTGCATTGTAGATGCCCTGACACCACCCTTGCATTTCTTTTTTCTTTTTTTTCAAAGATTTTGTTTATTTGACAGAGACACAGCGAGAGAGGGAACACAAGCAGGGGGAGTGGGAGAGGGAGAAGCAGACTCCCTGCCGAGCAGGGAGCCCGATGTGGGGCTCGATCCCAGGACCCTGAGATCATGACCTGAGCTGAAGGCAGACGCTTTTTAACGACTGAGCCACCCAGGCGCCCCACCACCCTTGCATTTCTGTGACAGTAAGTTATTTCCAATATCTTCACCCTTTGCAAGACATCTTAGGGTGGTTATTTTTTTAACATGCTACTGCAATCTGCTACTAAGGATTTTAATTCCTATCATGCTTTGTCAGGTTTTAAATCAATACTTCAGAAGCTATTTGGAGGCTCATTACATGCTTAAGTTTAACCCTTGCATTTGTCATAAAGATGTGATCATAGTTCAACCATGAAAATACCTGTACCTTTTCTTCTCTAATAACTGGTCTGTTGTAATTTTCTTTCCAACCAGTTTTAAGGCTTATGTCATTTTCCTTCATCGGTTGGTATACCTTACATTAATTTTTACACCTTATTTTTGTTTTTAACAACTATTTCCTATATTCCTTAAGTTTATTTACTTTCCTATTTGAATTTAGTGTTTAACTCCTCCATCCTTATTGGTGTGTTTCAGGCTATGACTCCCCATGAGCCCCATCATTCCCTGTGGTCACTCTCCATGACGAGTCTCCCCTTTATAAGGGGCTCATACAAGAGATGAACAAACTCTCAGTCAACTTCAGAAATTTTTTTACTCTTTTCAGGCTCATGTTTGTTAACAATTAGTACCAAGAACATAATATACCACCATCCTGTTAAACTACATTACCAAATATTAGATGTTTTTCTTTTTGGTGGTGGGGCATGCACACGCCATCACCTAAACCTTCAGATAGTGGCTCTAAGTGCCCAAACCAGATCGTGGAAAACCCCTCAGGTAGCAGAATTTCACATCTTGCCCACCCCAACTTACTCTGAATTTTTCTTTTTTCCTAATCCTCTAGGGCTGCACGATCCACCAAGGTCGCCATTAGCTACATGTTCCAAATGAGTGCTTACACTGTGGCTGGTCCAAATAGCAAGTGTCCTAAGTATAAAGTGCCAGATCTTGAAAACTGAGTATTTTACATTTTTTATAGTAACATTTTTTATTATATATTGCTGTTTTAGCTATTAGGCTAAATAAAATATATTTTTACCAGTTTCTTTTTACTATCTCAATAAAGGACATAGATGACTGCACCGTTCTCCCAGGCAGTGCTAAGTTCTCCCTCCATCCGTCGGCTCCCTTCCCTGATGCCGTGCGAGGCTGAGCGCACACACAACACTGCCTTCCTGTAACCCTTAGAAGACAGTAGCACCATGATGCCAGGTTAGTGTTAGTATTTATTTTAAAAATACACAAAATATAAATTTTTTACATCAAAGTGTGATAACCTCACTTATACATTGTTCCATACTTACCTGGTTTGGTTTGTATCCTTATGCAAACATTTATAGATGGATTTGAGTCTGATTTTTTGCTAGGATTCATGTAAACAGCTGAAACTGCTACATAAAATTGTCTTAAAAGGTAAGGTGGCCACAGAAACCCAGCAGTGAAACAATTCGATTTGGTTTAATGAAATTGGCAGAAGTCTTAGCAGATAGATAATCGAGGACTAAATACTGGCTTCTAGGCGTTTTAAATATTTAAAACCTTGAGGTTTTCTTCATCTTGTAAACATAACTTTGAAAAGTAAAATATTAAACCATGATTTTCATCAGCCTGCCTGTGGTCAGTATACACTCTCTTTATTACGAGAATGAACCAAATAATAAGCAAAATACATCAAGAATTTCAAATTATACTGTAATGAAGGTCCCGGCTGCCCTCTGTCCTGGGAGCGATCTAACTTCAGCTGACCCTGCCCCTGGCTGAGGAAGATCCCCGCTGGCTGCCAGACAGCACACCGCCCCAGCCGCGACATGGTCAGTTCCTCTTGCTCCGGGTCTTCCGAAGCAGCAAGACCACTGGCACCTCCGCCGGCTCCGCCGTCCTTCCTTGGGCTTGGCGTCACTGGGTTAGTGGTTTGTGACTACTGTCAAGACTGTACCGTCCCTTTAAGGTACCACATGCCGCCATAGCTTACACAGCAGTCCTGGGAAGAGAGAGGAACGTGTTAAGGGCAGACTTTAGCAGGAAAGGCAGCTACTGCGTCCTGTGCAGAACGCTACAACCCAGTGTCTGATTAATGGACGGAGCACAAATGGGAAACCAAGGGCTGCCCTATCACGGTGCTGCGGTAGCTCTCAGGGGCTCTGAAAAATGAGGAACCATAAATGAATGTGCTTTGCAAGCACAAGATTAAAAAAAAAAAACTGTCCATAAGTGGACCCAGAACAGAGGTGTCTCATAAATAGCACCAGGTTACGCCCTCGGATGTCTGAGGTCATCACGATGCAAAGAAACGGTTAGCAGCTTTCCGTGTTTCAGGGTTTTTGCAAACACGGTATTTTGTACCACAGTCAATTCATAAAAGCATTATAAGTAGTATACTTAGGTACTTTCATATACTTGACAAATATTCCTTTTTAAACTAAATTTAACTTAAAAATTGATTCTACTGAAATCAAGTGGTATAAGATTCAAAAGGGGAGGGGAGCCGGGACTCTCAGGCCCGGTCACCTCAAGGGATGACCCACTAGATTATTTTTTGAAGGTGGCATCCACATCTCACTCAGTTCAGTCCTTCTGCCCGCACCCATCATCATCAAGTGGAGACCCCCTGGCTGGGGAGTGGGCCGAATTTAAGAAACACACTGCAGGCCTCCACCTGAGATGGGGAAGAGACTGACAACACAAAGCAGGTTTACCTTTAGCACTTTATCCACCTCCTGTTTACTCAGATCCTCTCCACACTCTTGAGTCAGCCGTGACTGGATCATGTTCCGGCGTACCCGGTAATTTTTGGAAAAGATTTCAAGCAAAACCTGTCGGTGCTTTAGTAGCAAAAATATGTTATTGTGGAAAACAGTCACCTAAAAGAGAACCCCGGGGGCACCTGGGTGGCTCAGTCATTAAGCATCTGCCTTTGGCTCAGGTCATGATCCCAGGGTCCCGGGATCGAGCCCCGCATTGGGCTCCCTGCTCCGCGGGAAGCCTGCTTCTCCCTCTCCCACTCCCCCTGCTTGTGTTCCCTCTCTCACTGTGTCTCTGTCAAGTAAATAATCTTAAAAAAAAAAAAAAGAACAAGAAATCCAAAGCTATGGACCGAACTCCACACTGCAGTCTGTGTACACCCGGGACTTGACTTGTTTAAAGATGAATACATCTGACCAATCGGTCATCCCGAGGCCCCAAGAAGAGAAAAGCCAGGGACGTGCTGGCAGAGGAAAAGCAGTTTAGACTTGGTGTTTCATGGTAATTAGGAGGCAGGGTAAGATACCATCTAAGCTGTGAAGACAGGGCCGGAAAGCTTTGTCATGTATATTTTAAAAAGTAATTGTCAAATCCTTTGAATTTCCTACTCTGTCAGGACTAGAAAACTCCGATGCCATGTCTTCTAGCCAAGAGCATGCAGGCTAGCTAGCTCAGGACTGCTCTTGCGCTGGGGCCCCTGCCGAGGCCTTTGGGGGGGGGACACTCCCCACTTCCTCCCCACCCCTTAGGGATAGGACCTGGGAAAGGGCAGACTAGTATTTTAGCAGTTTAATCTTCATCCTTAACGTTTAGGCAAGTTCATGATTTAAGGAAAATTCTGGACCTCAGGGTCCATGAGCATACTAGACAAGACACTGGTGCTGGTTTAACTCCTGCTATTTTGTTCACTGGACACTCGGGACCCTTCCTGCCTGGGTGTGAGAGGAGGCAAAATGGACCAATTTCTCTTAGAAACCAGCACCCGAGATCTGGTAAGAACTCCTTTTAATTCTTACTGCCAGAGGCCACGTGAGAAATGACCATCACTGGTTCCTGAGCCTGGCTCGATGGCAGAATTCTCTGGAAGGTGGCTCAGTTGGTGAGGCATCTGCCCAGGGTCCTGAGATCGAGTCCTATGTTGGGCTCCCTGCTCAGCGGGGAAGCCTGCTTCTCCCTCTGCCTCTGCCCCTCCCCCTGCTTGTGCTCTCTCGCTCTCTTCCAAGTAAAAAAGCTCCTACAGAGCTGAACTAAATCTCTGGCGTCAGTGCTAGGAGCCTACATATGTTTTTTAAGAGAGGATTCTAATGCAGCTCATCTAGACCGGCAATCGGGAACCACTGGTTTCGGCTCAAAGGACGGGCCCATCCAGCCTGTTTAGCAACACATAGAGACACGGAGCCAGAATATCTAAAATTGGGAGTGGCTGGAAAACCTGAAGCATACATTCTGTGCTCTGGGTCTCCCTAAAGGCCTCACCCCACCTCCCTGCTCTTGGGGAGACAGAAGAGGTCACCTTACCTGATCGCTCATGTCTCCAGACTCCCAGAGGGCGAACACCTTCTGCTCATCTGGGGACGCAGCGGTCTGGGGGGGAAACTAAGCAAGGCCTGGGTGTGGGTTGTCGGTCTTTCCCCCCCGGGGCCCCCCTGCCCCCCCCCCCCCCCCACGAGCAGTGTGCATGAGTCCCATTCAGGGAGTGAGCCCATGTGAGACCAGAGGTTCCAATTCCAGCTCCCGCCACTCCCTAGGGCCTCAGTGGGACGGAGCAGGACCCACCCAGCCCGAAGCCCCCAGATTCACTGGACAAGGAGGGAAATCTGTTTTCTGTTGCTCCCGACAGCTTGGCATCGGCTCCCCTCCATCAACCAGTATCGCCCTACCCTAAACATAAGCCCTCAGACATGTCCTGAGCGGCACTCCCACCCCCATACTGCCCTGGGAGTATCCTGGGGATTCCTTCCAACCCCTTCCCTCAAGGGCTGCGTCAGTACAGGTGAGAGGCCCTGCCTGACTCCCAAGCAACCCACACCACTTGGTTCAGCAGGGTCCGAAGGTGGACCAAGAGAAGGGGGCCAGGCTCAGGGCACCTGGTAGAGCAGTTTCCAGCCTTGACCCCACAACACAAGCAACAGTGGGAGGTCCTACCACATAAAGCCCCTGGAGGACTATAACCATATGGTCTCATTTGATCAAGGTGCTGCAGCCTCCCACTCTGCAGGGGGAGAATCCAGCTTAGAGTTTACTCAGTGTCTGGGTCACACATCTAATACGTAGCAGAACCAGGGTTAAATTCAAGTCCGTGAGTCTACTCACTCTCCCTGGACCTCAGCACCCCGAGGCCGGACACATCGGACGTCTTTTCCTCCACAGACAGGACCATTCTATATGGTCCCTACATCAGGATCAGGGGGAGGGAAGTCAACGGGAGCAGCAGAGAGGGGCCATGGTCTCCCAGGACACCAGCCCCACCAAGAGGAAGGAGTGGGACAAAGGTGACTGAGAGCAGCCTACTTCACACCTCTCTCCCAACCACCCCAGCAGCCCAAGATGGCCTAGCTAACCCTGGGCAGGCGCCCCCTCCCCTGCCTGGCCCAGCTCCGAGAAAGGGGAGCCTGGAGCTAACTAGGCCCACTTGCTGGGCGGGCAAGGGTGGCTCCAAATAGGGCAGGGCCCCCAAGCCCTGGTACCTTTCATAGGAAACTGCACCACGGAGGCTCCCTGCCACGAGGGCCAGATCTCCTGGGACAGCCTAGCCAGCACGGGATCCAGGGCCTCTCGTCCTAGTTTCTGTGTCTCACATATACAAAGATGGCCCTCGCCTCAGATCCCCGGAGGCTGCAGGTGCTTCTGACCTTGGACTGCAAACGTCGAGGCTGTCTTAAGAGGCAGCTGCAGCTGCAGCCCCACCCCAGTCCTGTTTGCTGCCAGGTCTGGGCAGAGCCTGGGGGGAGAGACTGAGCAGCACCACTTCCTGAAGCCCCAGCCTGGCCCTCTCCACCCTCAGCTGCTCCGGGGGCAGCTTCCACTCCAGGGCCCCTGCCAATGCTGGGACCAGAAGCCTGGGCTGTGGGTGGCTCGCGCTGCCACCTGCAGGCCCCGCAGCAGAAATGCTGAGCACGCCAGTCAGCTAATCTCTAGCCAGGGAGGCCTGCCCGAGCCAGGGCACGAGCCATGGGCTCGGGTCAAAGGGGCAGCGCATCTCAGGTAAAGCAGAAAAGATTTCAGCCCTGCAGTCACTATACTGAGGTTCCAGTTCCAGCTCTACCACCTCCTGGGTATACGACCTTTACACAAGCTCATTTCACGTCTTTGAAGGTCGGTTTCGACACCTGCAAATTGCAAAAATCAAACGATGACAGAAACGAACTCAGCCTGAGAAACGGCAGGGCTGACGAGGCCCTGCACTGACCAAGGCCCTGCTGTAGGCCAAGCTACGGGTGAGCACCTTCGGACATCTCCAGGGGCCCTTACCCAAGTCCTAGGTACCAAAGCCAGCATTTGCCCACGTGAGACGACGAGGCAGAGCCCAAGAGGCCCAAGATCACACAAAGCCAACCCACGAGAGCCAAGATTCAGACCAAGGTCAGCACTCCTCCCGAGTTCCCATGCAACCTCTAAACAACTGGTTCCCCCAAAGCAAGAGGGGCACAGGCCACTCCAGAGGGACCCCGCTTGTTGCCTTTCTGCCAGGAAAGGGGCTGCCTGCCCAGGAGCCCTCCTGAAAAGCAGAGGGTGGCCTCGCGTGTACGCACATCCAGAGGCGCGGCTCTACTTACAGGCACCAGGATCTGCTTGCAACCGGCGGCCAGCACCGTGTCCTGCAGCATGCGGTCCGAGATGCCGCTGAACAGCGTGTGGCCAGGGGGCAGGCTGGCCAGATGCAGGTTGAAGAGGCGCTTGAGTTCACTCAGCGTGAGCACGAACTGTCTCTGGAAGGTGGCCTCCACGAAGGCCCTCAGTTCCCGGGCCACGGGGGTGCTGGCGCAGCCTGGCAGTGGGTGCCCGTTGAAGCTGTCCCCGCCGGCCGCCCGCCCGCTAGGCAACCCGTTGGCCAGCCTGTTGTGGAGGCCGCCACCGAGAGAGGTGTCCATGGGCTCCTCGTCTTCCTCTGCATCTTGATCTTCCTCGTCCTCTCCCTCACTCATGGGCTCCTCCTTGATCCGCACGCCAGGCAGGACCGCGGACACCCGCATCTGCTCCTTCCTCCGCTGCAGCTCGCGTTCCAGCAGTGCGTGGTTCTGCTGGGCCTTGCTTTTGGCCGCCTGGACCCGCTGGTCCCCAGAGAGCAGTGCAGCAGACCCTGTGGGGAGAGGAGCGCTGTTCTGGAGGGCTCAGGGACAGCGCAGAGAAGGGCCCTCCGCCCCCCGACAACCCCCACCAGCCCGACGGGGGGCACCCTGCTCCCCAGAGGAAGGGCCCGGGAACAACGCCGGCCAGCCAGGGCTGAAGCACGCTGCGGTCCTGCCTTTCACCCCCACCGGACTTGGGAGGGATGGAGCTCCCCCTGCCACAAGGAAAGAGACAGAAGTGGGGAAAATCAGAATCCCACGTTGGGAGAGCCAAACCAGGACGGGTTACTGCTGAGTCCCTGCCAGTTCCTCCTGTCCCACCGCCACCTTCTGCCGACCTAGGAAGGCCTGCACCCCAGCACAGCCCCAGAGTTCAGAAGCCCTCAGTCCCCGAGGCCAAGCCTTAAGCTGAGGTCTGTGGGGAAGGGGGAGGAAGGCACAGAAAGGACACCCAGTGGTGAGAGCCACACAGCCCCCTCCGGCCCGAGCCCTGACAAGCCCCCGCAAAGCAGGCCTCCCAGAGCCAGGGCTGGGTTAGGGGCCGGCCCAGTCCAAAGCACCTTGCACACCTGATTGTCCATCTGGCTTCTTTGGCAAGCCTTCCTTCACAAGATTATACACTTTTTCTAATCTGAAAAGAAGAATAAACTCTCTTAACTTTACAGTACGTCCCCTGTCACCGTCGAGGCAGGGACATCCTGGTGACTAAGATGCTGTGTGCACGGAGCCCGGCTGGCCCTCCCCACAGCGCACAGGCCCCACGCCCACCGGGAGCCGCCGGGCTGGGGCGGACAGCGGTGACCCACAGGAGCCCAGGCTCCTGCTCCCTCAGCCCCTCACAAACAGACACGCCAGCTCTGATTAGCAGGGGCAGCTGTACCAGGTCTGCACTGGGGGGTTCTGGGATCGAGCCACAGTGCCCACTGGAGGGGAGGAAGGGGTGCATGGGGCCCCAAGCGCGCCTGGGGGGCAAGGTGGCTATGGCCTGGCCAGCAAGCCCTTACTTGGCCTGGATGCCTGTCCACAGCATATGCTGCCGCTGGACCACGTCTGGATGTTTCTTGATGAAGTCCCCATCGGAAGGCAGTATGAACTCCCAGCCTTTGTTGACCCTCACCACAGCCATGTGCTCTAGGAAGTCCTTCACGTCCTCCGTGCAGAGCTGGGGGCAGGACAAAGGTGAGCCCCACAGGCCTGAGAGCCACCCGGACGGCCCGGACCTCCGACCAACAGTGGCACTTACTTTAGTCACGGCGGCCACCTCTTTCCTCACCACCCACCGGCTCTGCGTGAACTTCCACATCTGAGGGAGAAAAGGCAGCCTGTTTCTAGGACACAAAGACGGGCTGCTCCCAAGATCATCCCCCAGACCTCTAGTTGTCCTGGGGGCCTGGGATGAGGGAAGACCGTCCCCGACAAGAGCTCAGGTTGGACCAGCCGCCCCCTTCCCAGGCCCTCCTGACAGCATCCCCATGAATGAGACGGGCTGACGGGTGGTGGCAAACGGCACACGGGCTCCAGTCAGCAAGCCCAGGGCGGATATCCACCGCACTCTGGCCCCAAGACAAAAATAAAGTGCGGAGGCACCTAGCCGCTAACTGTCCAGAGAAGCTGGGACATCTGCTCAGGCAGGGAGAAAACACAGGCGCTCGCTCGAACAGCTGAAGGGCTGCCCTGCGCACATCATGGTCACTGCGGACAGCTTAGGAGACCGGTTTCCCTCAAGGGAGGCAGTGCAGATCCCAGCAGCCAGGGTTTAAGCCCTTGAGACGGATGCCTGGGCCAGGACTTATGGGTGAGGACAGGGCAATGGCGTGAAGGAATGAGCTGGCTCAGGAGTTGCCAAACCTACAGCAATAACGTACGAAAGAAGCAGGCCGGCGCAGGACCGCGGGGGATGGCACGGTCAGCCCCCACCCAAAGTAGGTGCCGTGCAGGGGTTTGGGCCCAGTGATACCAGACAGTCCAATTATTTGCTAATGAGCTAGAAATCTGGTTTGTACCAGGATTTTGAACTGTAAACACTAACTCAAGTGAACATTTAAAAAAATCTGCTCAGGCCAAATGAAACATGTTCCCTAGCCAGAGTCCACCTATGGGCCTCTGGCTTGTAATCCCCAGGCCAGAGGAAGGCAAATGTTCTTATGAAGTCTAAGACTCCAGGATTCTGAATCGAAGGAGAAAGAAAAAGGGTCCACAGCGACCCCCTGCCCTCGCCCTAGCCACACAGACCTGCCCGCCACCCCCTCCCAGACCCCTGCCCCACTGACCGGAGGCCAGAGAGCCTGGGCACTTACAACAAAGTCGCGACCGCGGCAGAGCACCTCGGCAGGCACGCCACTGTGAGGGCTGGAGGAGTCCTTGGGGTACAGGATGTCACTGCCAATGAAAGCAGGAGCAGCAGGTCAGGCCCCCTCCCAGCCCCTCCACCGCCTGCAGGGCCCCAGCCCCAGCTCTAGGCGCCGGCCCAGCCCAAGCCTCTCCAACACGGCGGGCACAGCTGCCCTCGGGGCCGCCCTTCTAACCGCAGAGCCTGGCTCTGTGAACACGTATGTAGAAGAGAAGCCTATCCCCCAAGAATCCTTCCTCCCAGCCCATCACGACCGTCCATGCACACACTGGCCCAGCCCCGAGGCCCACTGCAGTCAGGAAGGGCAGGGGTTCAGAAACAGGCCAGCCCGGGACTCTGGGAAGACAGCGAGTCCCACAGGCAGGGCGGGTGTGAGGCCTAGAGAGAGCGGCTAGGAAGCAGGACTTAAGGCCTCACCACCTGACGGAAGGGACGGGTGGGCAGTGTAAGCGGGGGCAAGAGGGGTCAGGGACTGGGACCTGGATGGGCCCCGAGGCACGAGTGGGGCTGAAGCCTTTGGAGTGAATGGGACCAACAGTCCAGCTCAGAGAACTTCAGGGCCCAGGGGCGAATGAGCTGGCTGCTGAGGCTTGCAAGTATAACCTTGACCAAGTTCAGCAACAGACCCTGTCTCTCTCACGCGAACATACACACCCACACCCCCCAAGACCATCCTGTGCCCGAGGAGCCTCTACTCTCCTGCGCCCACTCCTTCTGCCGGGAGACCTCTCTCCTCCCCTCCTCAATCCTACCTGGCAACCAACTAATACTTTTCCTTCCAGCTCGAGCTCTGTGTCCACTCCCTTCCCAGAAACACGCTGTGGGGACAGGGACCATCACTGCCACATGAAGGAAGGGAGCCGCTCGGCAGGTACTGAGCGAGCGATGAGCATGGCGTGCGCCCCAGACCTCTGCTCTTGGGGCGCTCATCTGTAATGGTGCCCACCCCCACCGCACACATTTCCTGAGGATGGGGACAGCACGTGAATGACAGCGGGGCACAGAACGCACCACAGAGCCAGATTTAGTGAACGAGGTGTGAGTGCTGCATCATCTCCTCACAGAAACCCAAAGAGACCGACAAAGGAGGAGCACCACCCCCAGGCCACTGGCAAGACCCAAGGGCTCGCGGCAGGACCTGAAGCACTGGGGCAGAGCGAACACGCGCGGCCCGGGGGCCCCACCTTCAGGTCACTGGGACAGACCCCAGGCTGGAAGGGCAGAAGCACCAGGGCCATAGGCAGTGCTGGGCAAGAGCTCAAACCCCAGTTCCGGGGCTGCCTTGCTGCCAGACGTTTGCCAAGTCTCTACCTCTCTGGAGCAGTGTCCTCGCTCATCCTTAGCATGAATATACCTAGGTGGTCCCATTTAGCGCCATCCAAAGGCCTGCCATAATCAAGCACTTGTGTGTTTCCCGGTGCAAGGGCGCCACCAGGTGGCAGCAACGTGAATAGCCTTTACAATTCACGGTCAACCAACCGACAAGACGGAGTTTCTGCAACGAAGTACTTAAAAAATTGGAACAATTCGTATTTTGAGATTGTTCACTTTACACCACACTTTCTAAAAAGCCTTTATTAATGTATTTTATGTTACACTATTTAAAATTAACATAATCCAGGGGTGCCTGGGTGGCTCAGATGGTTAAGCGTCTGCCTTCGGCCCAGGTCATGATCTCAGGGTCATGGAATCAAAGCCCCGCTTCGGGCTCCTGGCTCAGTGGGGAGCCTGCTTCTCCCTCTCCCTCTGCCTCTCTCCCTGCTCATGCTCTCTCTCTCTCTCTCTCTCTGTGTCTCAAATGAATGAATGAATAACTAAATAAATTTAACATAATCCAGGTAAACATAAAATGCAGCCACACTTATTAGCAAGGGTCTAAGATGTGCCAGGCATTATACTGACTTCCAGGGACGTGAAGGAGGGTCAACACAGAAGTCCCTGCCCGCCTCGACAGTGACAGTCTGGTGGAGGGATCACAGAGAGAAACTCCTGAAAGGCATCAAGCCATATGCTCCGAACCCCACGGGACATGTGAAAGGAAACTCACAGACACATCTTAACTGTGGAAAGCCACAACAAGAGAAAATCTCAAAAAGAGCCAGAGGAAACCAAGAATAAAGACAGTAGACTCGTCACTAGAAACAGTGGGAATGAGACTGCAATGACACTGTCAGTGTGTGGAAGGAAAACAATCAATCTCGAATTCTACACTCAGGAAAAATATCCTTTAACAAAGGTGGAATAGATATTTCCGACCATACAAAACCAAAGGAACCACGCCCCTGCAGAGCTTCGTTAGAAGAAACACCCCAGCAGTTTTTGGCAGAAGGTAATTGTCCCAGACAGAAACTCAGATGCAGAAAGGCATGACAAGCAAAATAAAAAAGTAAATATGTGAGCAGATCTGAAGAATATTGACTGGATATGATAATGTCCTGTGGGTTTTAAAATACAACTAAAACATAAACAGAACAGCACATGAGTTGGGAGAAAGATAAATATAAAACATTCTAAGGTCTTTGAATTGTCCTGGATGAGGGTAAAACACAGCAATTAATACTAAGCTGTGATCAGTTATGAACGCACCCTGAAATCTGTAGGGTACTGAGAGAGCCCAGAAAGAATAACTTTTTATTATTCCATTTCTTCCTGCTAATTTGGAAAAGAATCCAGTAGCAGGTAAGAATGGATATGAAATCTGGGACAAAGAGACAGCGCTATGGTAGACTTAAACCCAAAACATCAGTAATCACGTTGAATTTAAATGGATCAGATGCTCCCATGCAGAGGAACTTACCTCTTCACGACCCAGTTTCCTTGGACTAACATTGCCACCTTCTGGATGCCACGCAAAACAGCCACAGAGTCGATGGAGGGGCCCAGGAGGCTCATCAAGTTGGCAAAAGGCATGACCTTCACTGAGGAGGATGCAGGAGCCATCAGACAAGGGAAGAGGGCCTGGGCCCTTCCCCGCACCGCCCCCCCCCCCAAGTCTACACAGCTTCAGGCTCACACAACCACCCCAGCATGTAAGGCGGGCGACACGGGTAATAAGCGCTGACCCCACTGGCTGCTTGTGCACGCATCCCGCACTCACTGAATCCTGCAGCAAACACCCCAAGATGTGCTCCTTAAAGGTAAGACTAGTACGGGACACCTGGCTGGCTCAGTTGGTAGAGCATGCAACTCTTGATCTCAGGGTCATGAGTTCAAGCCCCACGTTAGGCATGGCGCCTACTGTGGCCGGGGGGAGGAGATAAACAGTAAAACCATTACTACCCAGGCCCATAGAGGGCCTGGGGTAGGTTCCCATGTCCTCTGCAGCAAGGCCAGTGGCCCGGCACCCAGGCAGCCCCAAGGAGAGCTGGGAGCTCCCCTCTGCTCAGGCCCAGGGAGGTGGTATCTCTGAAGAGGAGCCCGGGGCCTGGGACTCAGCTCTGAGGTTCAGGGCTCACGTTTGCCCTACAGGTTCTGGCCCTCCGAGTCCTCTGACAAAGGGGACCAGTCCCTACTGTGTGCAGCCTGGTGTGGGCCCCCCAAAATAGTCCAAGTGAACGAACGGAGCTCGTGTTCACGTGCAAGGCTCTGTATAAGCCGTGAAGAAGCCTTATCTCAGCCCCCAGGAGCTCTCCTAGTTCCTTAGGCGCAGGGGGGTCAGCGGCTGGCCCAGGCTCACTAGCAGGGGAGCGGCAGGAACAGGAGCCCAGCTGAGGGAGCCCCCCGCCCCGCCCCCCCCCCCACTGCTGCAGTGCGTTCCTTCCAGATGCGGCCAGAGCTGTAAAGCCAGGAACGCTCTGGCTCCGGGTGGCGGGAGCCTCTGGCCTTGCCCCTCAGTCCTTAAGTCTGTCCCACACTCTGTTTCCCCAGGAGGTGGTAGGGCTGGGGTCCCCCTGGGGGAAGCATGTGTCCACCCACCATTCTTCATCAGGATCTTGATCTGATCAGCCAGGGGCAGGGTGCGCAGCTGGGCCATGGACAGGACGTTGCTGGGAGCCACGGGTTTGTCTCTGTTGGAAAACAGAGACGCTGGGTTAAAGGAGGGGTAGGAGGGAGATTTGGGGTGGGGAGGGTGGCGTCCGGCCCAACTCTACTCACTTCTCCTCCTCTGGGCTAGGTGGCATCAGCATCATGAGGTACTCACTGCAGGGGAGAGGGCAGGGTCAGCAGCTCCTGGGCTCTGGCCCTGCCCCACCCCTGCCCACAAACCCAGACTGCACCTAGGCTGAAGCCTCCCCAAGGGAGGGCTGGGGGCTGGGGGACAGACAGAGAGCCACACCCACGCTCCCCTAGCTCCCCCCAAACTTGCGGAGAAAGGACGGCCATCTCCTGCCACACCCACCCTCCCACCCCTCTCCAGAGGACGAGGGGGCCCTCTCCCATGTCTGTCTCCCCTGCTAGAGAAGGGGCCACAGTCCCCAGGAGGGCCCCACACCACAGGGACCCTCCTGGGGCCAGTGGTGGGCTCAGCAGCCCACAGGGCTCAACAGCCTGGCCCGCCGGTCCCACCTGGGTGACTTGACGAGCTCAGTGTTCTCAACCCCACTGGAACCCTGGCACAGCAGGTACTGGCGCTCGTGCTCAGAGCGGCTGTCCTGTTGGGGAAGGCGCAGGGTGGGGGGACCCTCAGCCACCACCCCAGGCCCGTGCCACCCGCCTCCCGAGCCCCTCTGCCATCCAGTTTTCACCCCTGCATCACCTTTCCCTCCGGGCGCCCACTGTCCTGCCCCAAGGCCAGCCACAGAATCATATCCAGCCACCTGAGCATGGCATTCAAGGCCTCTGTGAGGCGGCCTCAATCAACCATCTCCAGCTCTATGACCGAACAGCCCCAGCACCCGTGCCTAGGTGCCCTGCCTGGGACACAGGGTCATTAACAGCAACGGTAAAAAATAACAGCTAACAGTCACTGAGCACCTACTATGTGCCGGGCTCTGGTCCAATGGCTGCTTATATACATCAACTTCTCTCATTAGGTAATTTGCATAAAGTCACACACCAGGAAATAGCAGAGCTTCTGGAAGTCTGACTCTAAGGCTTGGTCAACATGAATCTCTTTCAGGAAAGTTCCAGAGAAATCAGGAGTTGCTCCCCGACCCCCAAGAAAATGTTGGGGAGCCCTATGGCACCTCTGGCTTCGATCCAATCACTTCCCTTACTCAATACAGTCTCAAGAATTGGGTTCTAAGTCAGCACACGAGATGAAAACCAAGTATAGTCAAAAGCGCCCTTGGCAGATATGTGAACTTGGCCATGTGACAGATGGCTGGTTCTCCAACGAGCGCTTTCATTCCAGACCCACGATACATAAAAATCCGTAACCAAACACCAGCTCCACCCTGGGGCCAACAAGAAGCTCCCACTTGAGGAGAGCCTGGGGATGCCGAAAACCCCACCCCAGGAAACTGTGGACTCCTTTCTCAATCTCCTGCTCCCCTGGGACACACGCTGCTAAGTAGACCGGCTGGAACAAGGGACAAACTTTCCCCTCTCCACCCGGGACTCCCTACCACCAGGGGGCTCTCACTGAATCTGAAACCCCCAGTTCCAGGCGAGACTGGGCTCTTCTCCCAGGACCCTGGCCCAGGGCCAGTGTCAGCCGCCACCGGGGACCCCGCTCACCCTCAGGCCATAGTAGTGCAGGTGCACCCAGGGCTCCTCCGCGTGCTTCTTCTGCAGGAACTCATAGGACTGCACGCGGCGCTGGCGGGCCTGCTCCGACTCGGGACGGGAGAACCGCACCTGGGAGGGGTTGTGGCCTCAGGCCCGGGCCCCGTCCTGGGCTGCCGGCCCTCACCCCACGAGAAGACTGGAGAGCCCCGCACCACTCCCACCTCCCCTTCATTTCCCGATACACATCTCTTAAATTCAGCTCCAACCGTGTCCCCCTCTGTGACTTGACGACACAGGCCAGGGAGCAGTTTTCTCGTGCTTCTGCCTGCCCGGGACCCAGTCCATTTCCACTCCCACGGCTAAAAGACCCCCCCCCATTTTCCTTGGGGAAATGCCCAGGTACCCCTCAGCTCAGGGGAGAAAATATCCCTCCCCCGTGCCCCCACCCCCACACACATTCCCAGCCACAGGAGTGGGCACGTGACTCAGACCTGGACAATCCGAGCACCAAATCCTCTTAGCCACAGGGGCTGGTTCAGGGTTGGCCAAGCCAATGAGTCCGGTCTGGGACTTTAGTTAGAAGTAATGAGAAAGAAGTTTCTTTTCCCCTGGGGTCTTGGAAGCTGGGAGGATGTGAGCCTGGAGCGGGGACAACTCTGTACCACTGGGGACAGACACCCTGCCTGAGAAAGGCCAAAAGAGGAAGGCAGAACCTGGAGATGGAGATGGAGAAACCAGGTCTCGATGACCGAGTCTGAGCACCTGAATCCAGCCATACCTGAAGCTACCCCTCAGCTTCTCAGTAAAAGGGACCAATACATTCCATTTTGAGCTCATGCCAGGTAGGTCCGGGTTTCTGCTGCTTAGCGTCCTGATGGAACCGAGCCCTGACACCTCCCTATGAAGGGCACCCCCGCGGGGGCGTTGGCTGGATTTACAGAACCCTCAGATTTTTTTTTTTTTTTAAAGTGGGCTTCACGCCCAACATGGGCCTTGAACTCACGACCCTGAGATTAAGAGTTGCATATTCTACTGACTGAGCCAGCCAGGTACCACAGAATCCTGGGATTCTATATGGGTCCTTTAAGTTCATGGGCCTAAGGATAACTTGTCAAACAAGGGCCAGTTGAGTCCCCGAGGAGGGAAGGAGGGTGATCATTCAACAAGCTGCCGAGAGAAGAGGGTGAGTACCCCCACCACACAGCAGTCATGTTGGTATCAGCCCATCTTCAAGGACGTGCAAAGGCTCACAACTTAAGCCACGTCCGTACACCATCCATGTCACTATCTGTGCCTTCTTCTTTAAATACTCCTTTTAACCTCCATATGCTTACACAGAGGAAACTCGGTAAGCCATAAATGAAAGGTCAATATTCTTCTCACCACGTCTGGAATACAGGCTTAGTATTCAGATAGAATTGTTGTGTCTGCACACCACCGGAAACACTGAATGACGTGGTTAAGGCACATGGGGTTTTGGTTCCACTAGGACACAGGCTTCATGGCAGACTGTGCGGGTTCCCTGGACCTCCTAGGCCCCCAGTTTCCTCCTCCCAGACAATTCCAGTTCCAGCCAAGCCCCAGGGTTCCCACACTACAGAAGCCCCGGGCTGCTATCCTGTGAACAGCTGGGACAGGTCAGGGTGGGCGCAGGACAGGTTACCCCTCCAGGCCGCCCAGTAGGAAGGCTTTGAAGGATGGGACCCTGTTTCGGTATCTGTTTCACCCCCAGAGCCTTAGGTCTGCACAGCCCCCCCCCCCCCCCCCAGCGGGCGGGGGGCTGAGGTACAAAGCCGGCCCCGCTGCCCACCCCCCCCCCCCCCCCCCCCCCGCCCTGGCGCACCCTCCCTCTCCTCGGGGCCAGAGTTCACTCACTGTGATCTGCTTCACGTCTTCTTCCGCCTCATCCTGCGAAGAGTCTCCTGCTGCAAGAGAAAGCGGACACTGCTTGCAGCCTCTGGTGGAGCCCCCAACTCCCTAGAAGGCCTCAGGCAGGGGCATCTGGGAATTCTCCTTCTAGGCAGAGATCGTTAGCCAAGTCAGCACTTCTCAATTGGGGACAATTTTGCCCACGAGAGGACACTTGGGAATGTAGAAAGCCACGTTTGGTTGTCAAAACTGTGCAGGTGAGTGCTCCCGGCATCCAGTGGGTAGAGCAGGGATGCTGCTAAGCGTCCCGGAATCCATCCCCCTGCAGTTTTTCCCATGACCCACCCATCCCTGCCAAGATGCAGACAGACAGAAGGGCTAGGGGTCCAGAGCTCACCCTCATTGGCCGCCTCCCTCTCCCGGTGCTTGGCATCCGCCTTATCCAGGTAGGAAAAGCTGGGCCGCAGCTGCAGGATGCCATGAAGAGGCGTCAGGTGCAGCTCACCTGGCAGAGGAAGAAGGCTTTGGACCTGACTCTGGGAACTGGGACCAACCCACCCAGCTTGGCTCACAGTAGTCACAAAGGGCCCTGCACTCCCCCAAAGGCCTCAGCCTATCGCCAAGCCACCCGCCACCTCTGCTCTGCCCCCAGTCTCAGGGCCTTGGGACCACCAGGCCCGCAGCCCTTCCCAACCCCACCTGGCCCAGTAAGCACACAGCTGCAGTAGGACATGAACCCAGACCCTTCTGCTCAAAGCCACTTCTTTAAGCCTGCCTGCACACCCTCCCCCATGAGCATCGAAGGCCTTTCCGACCCTGGTCGCCACCCCCTTCCCCCCAGCTGCTCACTCCGGCACACGGCAACTTTTCCACTCCAAACTCGGCCTCTCTTCCCCGCCGGGCCTTTGCCAGGCACCCTCAATGTCCACCGCCCCCTCCCCACAAAGACTGCCTCTCCTCCTCCAACTCGGCTTGTCAAAACCCCACCCAATCTGCTCAGAAGTCTGCCAGCACAAATGTGGCTGGAGGAACGGCCCCTGGCGTGGCCAGCTGGAGGAGTGTCTACACAGTCCTGGACAAAGATCGTGACTCTTCCTTGTGAATGAAACCTGTGCACTGGGAGGCAGTGCAAAGACCATCAATTTCTCTCAAGTCAATGTGGGCTTGAGAGAGAAGAAATCACACGCTAAGGCTCTGGTAGGTGGCTCTGTGAAAGCGTTCTGGACTCCAGAGGGAGTGGAATGCTTGCAGTCAGGAGTAAAGAAGCAAATGGTCCTACAAATACCATATGATTTCACTCATATGTGGAATTTAAGAAACAAAAGAACAGGGTTAAAAAAAAAAAAAGCACACACAGAAAAAGATTCAGGGCTCCTGGCTGGCTCTGTTGTAGAGCAAGTGACCCTCGATCTCTAGGTTATGAGCCTGAGCCCCACTCTGGGTGGGCGTGGAGCCTACTTAAAACAGAACAAAAACACACACACAAAGCACAGAACCCACAGACTCTTAACTACAGAGAACACCTGACAGTCACCAGAGGGGGGGTGGGGGGGGTGGGGGGGGGGGGGGGTGAGAGTACACTTAAGGTGATGAGCGTGGAGTCGGGTACAGAATCACGGAATCCCTCTATTGTACATGTGACACTAACATAACACTGTTTGTTAATTATACTGGAATTTAAAAAATAAATCATTTTACCACCCTACATACAAGAATAATTTTCAGAAATGTTAAAAATTTTCATATAAAGTACTATAAATACTAGAAAAAAAACTAGGAGAACCTTTGTATGAACCTAGGATGGGAGAAAGAATCCTAAAAACCAAGACAAGAGATTCAGAAGGAAAAACACAGGACAGGTAAGTTTGGCTACGGAAGAATACGACCACATCGGGAAGATGGCACAAGTTCTGGAGACGGGCGGTGGTGACAACTGCACACCAACATGAATGCCCTCAAATGTCACCGAACCGCACACTTAAAAATGGTCAAAATGAAGGGTGCCTGGGGCGCCTGGGTGGCTCAGTCGTTAGGTGTCTGCCTTCAGCTCAGGTCAGGATCCCAGGGTCCTGGGATCGAGCCCCGCATCGGGCTCCCTGCTCCTCGGGAAGCCTGCTTCTCCCTCTCCCACTCCCCCTGCTTGTGTTCCCTCTCTCGCTGTGTCTTTCTCTGTCAAATAAATAAAATCTTAAAAAAAAAAAAAAAAAAAGAGGGGCACCTGGGTGATGCTGTCAGGCAGGCGTCCGACCTGGTTTCAGTTCAGGTCGTGATCTCAGGGTCGTGAGATCGAACGCCGTGTCAGGCTCAGTGCTCAGCGGAGATTTAAGATTTAAGATTCTCTTCTTCCTCTGCCTACCCCCCACCCACTCCCTGGGAGTGTGCTCTCTCTAAAATAAATAAATCTTTAAAACAAAAAAAAGTTAAAATGGTAAATTTCATGTTATGTATATTTTACCATAATAAAATTAATTCAAAGAAAGAAACAAATGGTCCCGGCTGCAAGGCCTGAGACATGGGTTCAAAAAAGGATAGTTACTTGATACTACTTTTGAGTCTTTTCTAGTTTGTTTCCTAAGTGTTCAAATTAGTTTTACCTATTGCTTTATGAACTCTAAACACTTTTTAATGGCTTTGTTGAGATATAATTCCCATGCCATACAAAATTTAAAACATACTAGTCAATGTATTTTAATATATTCCTGGAGTTGTACAACCAGCACTACAATCAACTTAACGTTCTCAGGGGCGTCTGGGTGGTTCAGTCGGTTAAGTGTCTGACTCTAGATTTCGGCTCAGGTCATGATCTCAGGGTCGTGAGATATAGAGCCCCTTGACGGGCTTTGCACTGGGCATGAAGCCTGCTTGGGATTCTCTCTCCCTCTGCCCCCTGCCCCCCAAAGAACATTTTGATCTCCCCAGAAAGAAACCCTGAACCCATCCTCAGTCACTTTCCATTCCACATTCCTCCTAGCCATGGGCAATTACTACCTGCTTTCTGTCTCTACGGATTTGCCTCTTCGGGACACTTCATTTAAATGGACTCCAACAACATGTGGCCTTCTGAGCATCATGCACACTAAAGGATTTATCAGTACTTCCTTCCTTCCCGTGGCCAGATAACATTCCACTACATAGCTGACGCCTGGATAGTAAAGTGCACTACAGCCGAGAGACTTATGGATTGTTTCTACTTCTTCACTACTGTGAATAATGCTGCTATGAACATCCACGTACAAGTTTTGTGTGAATAGATGTTTCACTTCTCTTAGGGAGATGCTAAGAGTAAAACTGCTCATGCATAAGTACCTTGTATTTTCTTTTTTTTTTGAGAGGGAGGGAGGGAGAGGGGGCGCAAGTGAGTGAGTGGGAGAAGGGGCAGAGGGAGAGAATCCCAAGCAGGCTCCACACTAAGCGCAGAACCTCGCAGAACCCAACGTGGGGCTTGATCCCACGACCCTGAGATCATGACCTGAGCCGAAATCAAGAGTCGGATGCTCCACCGAATGAGCCACCAGGAGCCCCGCAAGTACCTTGTATTTAAAACAAAATCCTCCCGCCTGTCTCAAAAGTTGCGCTGTATGTCTGTGTCCCAGGAGGAGACAGTGACCTTGGCAGCACCACCTCTATCAGGTCAGGTAGCACCAAAAGCAGGAAGTCCTTAGAGGTGGCCTATTCCAGACCCCTGACAATGTCTTTTCTACAACCTGCCTGGCCCCTACAGGCATCCGGGGAGCAGCAAGCTGGGTACCAGGCTAGGGACAGCCTCCCCCTGTCCCAGCCTCCCTCCCACTTCCCGCCGACCCAAGCGGCCTCCAGGAGCCACGGCAGCCTGGCCGCCCAGCACGGGTACCTTGTCTGTAGAGCGCAGCGGCGTAACGGGCTGTGTTACTGGTGCTCTGGGAGGAACAGAACGTCTGCTTGTCCATCAGCTTCCTGGGAGCACAGGGAGAACAGACGTCAAGGGGAAGGAAGCTCCAGACCCAGGGCATAGCAGGCCCTGGCCCCTCCACCCCAGACACCTCCTGAAATTCAATACCCAGGGACAGGGATCAAGGCCCCACCTCAGCATATGTGAGCCTCAGGAGGGAAGCCGGGGAAGAGAAAACCCAAGGCCCTGTCTGTGGCCCAAGGACAGGTGGTGGGTCAAGCCCCTACTCCCATCAAGGGGCCTCTCAGAAGGGAAGACATTTGCCACAGGGCAGGGCTGCACCAGGCCCAAGCATGTGAAGCTGGGATGTTGGGAGGGAGCCGAGCAATGGGGCACAAGGGCCCAGGTATGTGACAGGCCTCTGGAAGGCTCTTATTGGAGCACACCAAAGCCTGCGGGCCGGGCCCAAGGGACTCACGAGGAGTAAGTGCTGCTCTCGTCCGTGCAGGCACCGTCCACATTGAGTGCAATCTGCTCCCCTTTGCTGCGGCAATAGTTGGGGTTCAGGGTGTCGATGGCCATCTCAAGTTCTACCTGCAGGCATCAAGCACCCCCAGCAGCTATGAGGAACGGAAGGATACCCCCAACCTGGCCACAGCCAAGTCCTGACCCCTGTCCCTGCCAATCCAGCCCTGCTCACAAGCAGGCCCGACACACACCCCCCCCAAGGGCCCCCGGGGTTCAGTCCACATCAGAGGTCAAAAACCCCAATTCCAACAGAAAGGCCAGAGTGGTTTGGGGGGGTGGGGTCATGTAGTTCTATTTGTCCTCCCCATTCTACCCTCCAAAATCTAAATTAGGTGCCAACGATTAAAATTCAAGAGATTTTCTCATAAAAATTCTCATTTCCAGGGGCGCCTGGGTGGCTCAGTCGATTTGAGCAGCTGCCTTCGGCTCAGGTCATGATCCTGGGTGTCCTGGGATCGAGCCCCACGTCGGGCTCCCTGCTCAGTGGAGAGCCTGTTTCTCCCTCTCCCTCTGCCTGACACTCTGCCTACTTGTGCTTTCTCTTTATCTGTCAAATAAATAAATAAAATCTTTAAAAAAAAAAATTCTCACTTCCAACTTCTCTTGAAAAGTCACTGCATGTGGCAATGGGGGGCAATAGGGGGCCGGAGCTACAGCACCCCCCTGGACAAGCCACGTGTCCAGAGCTCCCGGCCCCTACCACCCCATCCCTTCGAGGCACTTCGAGCCTATCAGAGCTGTTGCACGTCAGCCCCTGCCTTATCCTGTCAACAGGAGCCCCCCATTCCCAGCCTCGAACTCATTCCGAGTCTTATTCTCCTCTGGCCTCTCTGGAGCTGCTTTACTCCCTTTCTTTCTGGAAACTTCCCTTCCTCAGCTTTCCAGGCTCTGCAAGCAACTGGTTCTCCTCTCAACCCTCCAATCGCTCCTTCTCTGGGCTTCCAGTCCCCAAAGGGCCCATGTCCTCTTCGCTTGCATCAGCACCCCCCTGTACCACCCCTCCCCTCCTCCACCTCCATCAGAGGGCAGCCCCACCTTCTGCTGCTTGGGCTTGATCTTGGCTGAGAGGTGTGGAATGTCATCGTAGGTCATCGAGGCTGGACGCACAGGGTACTGGGGAGGAGAAGGGAGCCGTCAGTCCACCCTGCCCTGCCCGGCCCGGCCCAGAGCTGGGCTCACAGGCTCCAGCCAAGAATCAACACCAAGCAGAGACCAGAGGTCCTCGCTGGTCCCCGCCTGTGTCGCCTTCATACCGGCTCCATCCAGCTTCCTTCCAAAAGGCAATTTTCGAGGGTCTCTGACCTCCGAGGGACAAGCCTATGCATCAGGAACCCACACAGGCCCCTCTCTGGTAACCCACGAGTCCTGCCAGGGAGGCAAGAGTGAGGATCAGGCAGGGCACCTGGGTGGCTCAGTCATTAGGCGTCTGCCTTCGGCTCAGGTCATGATCCCGGGGTCCTGGGATTGAGCCCCGCATCGGGCTCCCTGCTCAGTGGGAGGCCTGCTTCTCCCTCTCCCTTTGCCTCTCTCCCTGCTCATGCTCGCTATCTGTGTCTCAAATGAATAAATAAAATCTTAAAAAAAAAAAAAAAAAGAGTGAGGATCAGGCAGAACACAAGGGACACAGGACCGTGGGCAGCACAGACGGAAGACCCGACCGGTGACATGCTGTGGGTGGAGGACGGGTGTACAGGAATTCGTTACCCCATTCTCTCCGCCGCCCTGTAAACTTTTCCGTAATAAAAAGCTGCCACTGACCCACTCAGCCCCTCTGGGCCTCAATGTCACCATGCGTTAAGTTGAGAAGCTGTGGCCGGCGCTGCCCGGACGATGACAGCCTCTGGAAGGAGCTGGGGGAGGCGTGGCAGCATGTGCACTGAACCCTCTGTGTGGGGGCCCTCTCAGACTGGCTATGTTCCAGCCCAAGGCAGTGGTGACTTCCTAAAAGCTCACTCAGATAGCAACACAGCGATTCCCCCTTGCTTCCTGGGCCAGAGCTTATGGCAGCGGTAGGATGAACAGTCTGGAGCCTGACTGGTCTGGCCTGAGCCCTGGCAGCTCTGCCATCTCCTGATCTCAGGCTGGAACGGGTGGTGGTAAAGGGCAAGGTTCTGGAACCAGGCCTGGGTTCCGGTCCCAAATTTGCCTCTTGCAACGTATGGACCTGGGCCAGCTCCTCACCACAAACGTGCAAGTCCTCACCTCACAGGGCTGCAGGGGGCAGGGAGTGAGGCAAAGAGAGCAGACACTGCAGGGCCTGGCCCACCGTGAACACATATGGGGTCACCGTCCCCACGGCCAGCTCCCCACCATTTTGCAGGCAGCCAGGGAAACCAGTTCAGAAGGCCTGAAGGACAGGCCCCCAGCCCCATAGCCTGTAAAGGCAGACCCCGGGGGCAGAGGGCAGGGGAATGCTGGGCCTCTTCCCAGCTCACATTTGGAGTACCCCCACTGCTGCCCTGTCCTGGGCCCCGTGCACAAGTGGCTAGCCTCCCTGTGCCTCACCTTCTCATATGCAACCTGGAGACAAAATACTTACAACTATAATCTTGTTATTAGAAATGCAAACAATCTGCCCGTTCCTTTAAACATGAAACATAGTGTTTCCATTGGATCCAGCAATTCCGCTCCTAGGGATGTGCCCAAGAGAAATGACAACACCTGTCCACACAAAAACTTGTGTGGGATATTCACAGCAGCACTGTTCACAATAGCCCCAGAGTGGAACCAACCCAAAGAGCCATCAATGCACGGACAAACACAATGTGCTGTATACAGCCACACCACCGAGTACTATTCATCCATAAAAAGGAATGAGGTACTGATACATGCTGAACATGAGTGAACCTCGAAACCATGATGTTGAGTAAAAGCAGCCAGCTATGCCATGATTCTGTGTACATGAAACGTCCAGAACAGGCAAATCCATACAGCGAGAAAACAAGTTAACAGCTGCCTCGGGATGCAGGCAGGAACAGGGGACACAGGACAAAACTGTCCAAAAACAGACTGTGGAGCTGAGCTCTGGGCTGGGCCATGTTCTGAGCACTTTGGATGGATTCATCCAACCCCCACGGGGAGCTACAGGGCACGTAGTATAACTGCCACCATTTTGTAAATGAGGAAACAGAGGCACAGAGAGCTCAAGGACCTTGCCCAGGGCTCACAGCTAAGTCATGATGGAGCTGGGCCTCAACACAGCCACCAGTCCCCAGAGTTCCAGAACCACACTGTTCCACCTCTCATGGCTGCCTTGGTTTTCCCATCTTCGAAATGAGAGACTATTAACCTGCCCGCCCACAAGAGCGAAGAGAAACCCCCTGTCCCACACTCTGGCACCCAGAACCCTAAGCGAGGCTGAGGTTTCCCAGAGCCCCTCAGCCCCCACCCCCATGCTCAAGGTGGCCCCTTTGCCCTCTGGTCTCATCATTACCTGAAACAGATAGAGCTTCTCTGCCAGACTTTTAGCCAAGTACACGTCGATCTGGGAAAAAGGGAAGAAGACTTAAACAGGAGACAGACAGGTAGCTGGCCTGCCCTGGCCTCCCCCTGCTCTCTGGATGTCAGTCAGGGCTCGTGGCTCCTAGAGGCAGTGGGGGGTGGAGGGGGAAGAGCTCAGCTCCTGCTAGAAACAGAGGGAACCGAGTCTCCAGCCTCCCTCTCTGTGGCTCTCAGGGGGACCAGGACAAGAGTTCCTGGCCCTCTCCTAGGTCCACTACAACCCAATAAAAATGTGCCTTCCCCGGGTCTGCCCAGATCAGGATGCATCCTGGAGCCCGATTAAATGCTTTTCTGATGAGGCTGGGACAGAGGAGAGCTTACCCACTTGCCTGCCCTTCCTCCCTGTGCCCTCCACCACCTACCCTGGATTGACCTGTCACACCACCTTTAGGTGGTCTGCAAGCCCCTCTAAGAATGATCTGGCCCAACTCTTTCTTCTCAACACTAACCGCCCCTGACCCACCGTGCAGCAGTTTACCTCCCTGCTTCCCGGTTCTTCATATGAACCATGTTCTCTCCTACCACCAGGCCTTAAGGAGGAGTGAAGGGCATCAGCGCAGGCGAAGCCTGTGTGAAGGGCAGTCTAGGTGGAGGGAGCAGCATGTGCAAAGGCCCAGAGGCTCTAGGATGTGTCTGGATCTGGGCTGACTCTGGAACCTACCTCCCCACCATCTGCATCTTGGGTCTCCTTCTTTGTCAGATCCTAAGTTTCCCAAGGGCGGGACACTGCCTTGCTCACTACTGTCATAGCCCCTAGCACACAGTAGATCCAGTGAACAACTGCTGAATGACTTCTGGGTAGGCCCAGGAAGAAGGGGGAAGTTGTCAAACCCATTCATTCATTCAACAAATAGTCACTGAGTATCTACTAAGTGACAGGCACTGAACTTGGCTTTGTGGACACAGTGATGAAGACAAAATCCCTCCCTCGTGAAGCTTACATTCTAGTGGAAGGAGATTATGTTTAGGGGATGGGAAGTGTTATGACCAAGCACAGGGCATGGCCAAGGTAAGGAGCTTGGGGGGGCCAGGGAGGGTGAACAGGAGAGCGCCACACGAGGCAAGGGGTGTCAGGGAATCCTCTTTGACAAGGAAATGCTGGATCAGAGACTGGGAGGAAGTGAAGGGCTCAGCTAGGCAGTTATCTGGAGGAAGAGGGTTCCAGGCAGAGGGAACAGCCTGGTTAGGGGTCCCTGGGATGCCAGCAGGTTCCAGGCTGGCCCAAGGATGGATGGAAGGGCCTCAGCCCTGGGCCTGGGCACTCCTCCCCAGCAGCCCCGGCAGAGGGTAGGGAGCAGCAGTTACCTCCTGTACGACTGGGTCATCCTCTTCATTGGCCATACTAGGGGGGAGCCAGCCGCACGATCCTCAGACTCAATCTGCAAGGGACAGCAAGAGGCCTGAAACAGCAGCCGTTCCGCCGACACCCCTGGGTGCCTCTGTTGCAACGGGCCTGCTCTGGGAGGGGAGAGCCTGAGACAAACAGCAAGTGACCTTCCTTCTACATCTTTCCTGGAGTCAACAACAGACGGCCAATTCTACACCCCACTGGCCAGAACCAAACAAGAGGGAAAAACCACCAAACAGAGGGTACAAACAGGTGGACCCAAGGCGGCACACATCGGCTGCACCCGTGGGAAAGAATAAATGACCAGCTTTAAGGGTTTTGCAACCACGCACAGAAAAGAGGTCACTGCCAGGCAGGGGGATGGAGGTTGGCTGGTCCACAGCCATGATGCAAATACTCGAGCACTAACTGGGGGCCACGGGGAAGCGTTAGTGAAGAGGCTGACGTCCAGCAGAAAGAGCCAGCAGTCCCAAGGCTGTCTGGGGAGGCTCTGTCTCTGGTACTTGACTTTCAAGCAGACTTTAAGCCCAACCCCGTGTGAGAGGATTCTCCTGTTTCGTGTGTGCGACACAAAATGACCCTCTTCACAGACTTTAATGTATTCAACACACCAACCCTGCAAGGTGGCCTGACTGTCCCCATTATCTAAGGGCGACTGGAACTTGGGGACACCATGCATGCACTAGCCAGAGCCACAGAACAGGCCAGATGATGCACCGGGCTTCAAAGCCAGGCCAGCCAGGCCGCCCGATTTCAGGTAACAGCTACAGGTCAGGCAGCTCAGAGGGACGGGAAGGGCCTTCCTGCCGGGAGGAGAGGGGGCAGTCTGGGCTGGGCCCTGAAGGAGAGAAGGATTTGGACAAGCCATGACACCAGACAGCAGGAGGGACCCCAGGTGACTGGCAACACCTCAAGCCTGGAGGGGAGAAGGCCGCACGTCTCCATGGCAGAGGGGAAGTCAGTCTGCTGGGCTGACTCTTCATATTCCCACAGGAAGGGGATGGTCATGTGGGTACCTTCAGAATCCCAGCAGCCCCCAGGCCTCTAGTTCTGGGTAAGACCATCATGATTTTTGTCTTATCTACTTAACATCCAAGTAATTCAATATTTAAAAGGGTGTAATACCTTCACTTCGGGTGGGACTCAAGGTCATCCAAGCCCTCTGCCTGAGCCATACCACCTGAAGTCCTTTCATGAGTTCCAGATACATGTTCCAAACTCCAACTGCTCAGCCCCAGTGCTGGCCTCATCCCTGATGCCGCTGCCCCCCTCACATCACACCAGCAACTCCCGTCAGTTCCACCCTGAAGGCAGGTCCGGGGTCCGGGCACCCCCACTGCCACCTCCCCGGTCCAGCCAGCCCCACTGCCTGCCTGCATGACAGCAACAGCCCTCCGATCTTCGCCCAACCCCATGGCCAGCGCCAGTGATCCTTCTGGAAGCCACATCAGGGCTCACCACGCCTCTGCCTTCAAGGGCCTCCCAGCCCACTCAGGACAGAAGCTCAAGTCTTTATGCCACCACCATCCCTTTGCCTCTCAGACCTCATCTCTCACAGGCCCCCTTCCTCCCGCTCCCCCCACCGTGGGCCTTGGTAACTGCTCTACCCCAAGAGCCTCATGGCTCCCTCCCTCACCTCTTCCAGGTTTTTGTTCAAATGTCACCTCATCACTAAGACCTGCCCTGTCTACTCTATCCAAAATTGCAACACCCTCCCCCAGCTCTGGTTGTCCCCAAAGCATGCACCACCACAGCTCTGTTTTTATTTTGTCCCTATCCCCACTGCCACTAAGCTGTAAGCTACACGAAGGCAGAGATTCAGGTCCGTTTTGTCCCTTGCTGTACCCCCTAGCCTGCAGCAGGCACTCCATACATACCTGCTGTCTGAAGAAATGGGACCACAGGAAGGCTATTTAACAGGGAGCTACCAAAGATTTTTGAGTGGAGGAAGAAGGCAAACCAGAGGGAAGCCGGCTGCCCCAGCGGTTGGGGCTTGAAGACTGGATGAAAATCAGAAGCCCTAAACTGACAGTCTGAGGTGCGTGGTCCTGCCCAGAGAGAGGGGGATGGATGGCAGAGCCCCAGGCCTCACCCCATCTGCACTGACCGCCAGGGGTCACAGGTGCACTGCGAGCACCTAGCTCCTCTCCGGCCGGCTCCGCGGACAACCGAGGCACTGGGGACTTGCACGTGAGTTAGGGTACAGGTCACATGTACAAAGAGGTGTGGCCTGGGAGCTTCCCCCGACGCAATCATTCCTGAGAAACTGGCTTTCCCAGCTCTTGGTGGGCTCTGCCAACCCCTCCCCCAGTCACTGAGGAGCTCGGGGAGGATGAGGTACCTGGAGCTGTGGCTCCTCCCTCCAGATGGTACACGCGACCAGGGCAGCGCAGGGCTCTCACTTGCCCTCATCCTCTCCGCCAGCATCATCCAACTTGGTGGCTTTCCAAGTTTTCAGTCTAAGACCCATAGTAAGAAATCCACTCCACAGAAACGAGCCAGTACATACAGACAATTAGGGAACTAAACCAAGGTTTCACACAAGCTTAACTGCCCCTATTAGATGTGAAGCAGTGAGCTTTTCTACCCTCACTCATTAAAATTAACATGCTGGTTACAATCCTCCAAAGTGATTTCACATCTCACTAATAAAAGTTATTTTTTTAAGTAATCTCTATGCTGAACATGGGGCTCAAACTCATCACCCCAAGATCAAGAGCTGCATGCTCCACCGACTGAGCCAGCCAGGTGCCACTCACTAAGAAAGCTTCATCTGTGATTGAAAAGTACTGCTCCAACAGGTCTCCCTGAGGTCCCTCTTTTCTATCTCCAGTCCTCCCAGAAAGAGCCAGAGCTGTCCTTGCAAAAGAGTAAATCACATCATTCTCCTGCTCAAAACCTTTCACCTGCCACAGAGAATAAAATCCAAACTCCCTTCCGTGGCATCAAGGCCCTATGTGATCCTGCCCCTGCCACCTGCTGGGCCACCAAGAGGCTAGGCCCCATCCTGTCTCAGGACCTTTGCATGTCATCTACTTTTCCCACGTCTTTTCAAAGCTGGCTCCTTTTCATTAGATATCACCCCCCCACCCCCTCCAGAAGGGGAGAGAAGTTCCCTGGCCACCCAATCTGAAAGAGCCAACGGGCTCACAGTCACCCCCAGCTCTCCCTGTTTTCTTTCCTTCATGGTTCTTATCACAATCTGGAACCACCTAGTCTACTTGGGTTTGTGTTGTCTGTCTTCTGTACTAGAATGTAAGCTCCAAGGGGGCCTCTGAGTTACCTCAACCACGAAGTGGAGATGATCCTACTTAATCAAGTTGTTATAAGGACTATTATCTCTCTTTAAAATCCATGCTATTCTCCCCATACCTAGTTGTTATAAGGACTATTATCTCTTTTTTTAAATCCATGCTGTTCTCCCAATACCTGGCATGAAGTGGACACTCAATACAGTACAAAGAACAATTAAATAAATGAACGCATGAAATCAGGCAGTTATAGACCCTTCACCCTGTGAGCCTAACTCAGCCCCATCCAGACACTGGTGGACTCATGGTTTGGGCCTTACGGACACTTGAGAACAGACAGGGGCTGTGGCCCAGGCAGAAGCAGCCCTCCCAGCCACAAGCCAGGCTTCCTCAACTGCAGTGACCACCTGTGACCACCTTGGGTGTCCTGTGGCCATAATGGTACTCTGTGGCACTGGCTCTGTGGCCTTGAGCACACGAAGTTTCCCCCAGCAGGGAGCTGCCAACAAATGGAAAGGAGACAAGGACACCAGGTAGAGCAAAGGAGGGGTTCAGAGCAAAGGAAATACCTGAATGCCACACCTGGGTGCATCCCTGTGCACCTAGGAATCTAACTTGTCAGCCAATCAGAAATGCAGAGGCAACTCCAAAGTCTCTCTAGCTACTGGAGGGAGAAAACAAAGTACCACGCAGTTAAGAGGAGAGGGCCCCAAGGGCAAACAGTCTCAAGGCCTGATTCTAACTGCCTGTGTTTGTCTCTGGCAAGCCATCTCCCCGCTCTGGGTCACCTCAGCTCCCACCTCTGTTAAAGAGTCAGCCTGGAAAAAAAGAACTAATTAACCCTTAACTGATCATCAGACCTTTCTCCAAGGACTTCACACACGTTCTCATCTTCTCAATAGTCCCGTAAGTCAAGATTCATCATTCCCAATTAAGAAATGAGGAAACTAAGAGTCAGAGAGTAGGTAATTTTGCCCAAGGTCACAGTGCTGGAGAACAGCAGAGACAGAGCGGAACCCCGGGTCTGGCTGATGTCAACGATCCGTATTCTTAACCACTATGCTGCACACCTCTTGAATAAAAGGCAGTATGGGATAGTGGGGAAGAGCCTGGACTCTCAAAGCAAAACGACACCGGTTCAAATCCCAACTCAACTACCTACCATCCGTGGCCCACCTGGGATTGTTTAATCTTGGAAGGTCTCACTATTTTCACCGCTAAAATGGGGATAATAAAGTACTAAACTCCCGAGGGCTGCGATGAAGATTAAGTAAGGTAATAAATGTAACCTGCGGGGAGCTTTGTTATGACTTGGCAACATGTTTTCTTCCAATGTCGGAGAGCACAAGGCCCCCACAAATCAAACCCTGCGAGCTGGGGCTTCTCGCGTCTTACCCTACTTAGCCCTCACCACAATCCTATGAGGCAGTTAATTTTATTATCCCCATTTCACAGATGAAGAAACGCTGGCGACTGGTAAGACCTCCTCCATCGCCCATCGATTCTAAACCTGACATAACTGAACGACCTTGTTTATGTTCGGGTTTACTTGACGTGCTTACTGACACCTCCTCCAGCCCCATGGTCAGGGCCGTATCCGCGGCACGGTGCGGGCTCTCAGTGAACGCTGAATGGAGACCTGAATAGCTGTACGAAGAATGCCGGGCCTGGCCAGGCGGAGACTGCTCTGGTTCAGCGCGAGGCGAGGGCCGGGGCCGGCTTGGGGACCCTCCCCCTGCCCAGCGGGGCGGGCCGCCAGCCCCGGGCCACACTGTCCAATGGGTTTCGCCTCCCTCGCGGGTGGTCAGGCCCCCTTCTCACGCCCACCACGCAGCCGTCGCCTCTAGCTGCCGCGCTGGCGGGACAGCGGGTGCCTTCGGACAGGTGCTCCCGCAGGAGGCCCGCCTGGTCCGGGCGGAGCACGGTGGCTGGACCCTGAGTCACCGCCGGCAGCCTCGGCTGCGGCATCCCCGACTCCCAGGCCCGGCCGAGGTCGGAGCCCGCGGCCGGCCCGGGTCTACGGGGGCCGGCTACCCAATCCTTCCCGCCCGAGTCCCGGGAGGCCCCCAGCCCCTGGGTTCGGCGCGGCGCGGGCCTCCCGGCCTACTCGGCAGCCCAGCCCAGGCCCACCTTGCGAGTGCGGCCCGGCTCCGGTCCGGGCGTGCGCTGCCTTCTCGGCACTCACCTCTCCGCGGGGGCCGCGCGCGGGCGGCGGCAACGGCCCAGGTACCCGCGGACTGCAGAGGCGGCGGCGGCCCGGCTCTTCTCTTAGGCAGCGGCCATGTTGCTGGTGGAGAAACTCCAGCGGACACGTGGGGGGAGCGGGCCGGGCCTCACGCTTCCTTTTACCCACAATGCCCCGCCCCGACGCGCGCAGAACCCCCCCCTCCGCCGCTCCATTCATGCCGGCCGCCTGCCGGGTTTGGCAGCAGGGGGCGCTGATGACCCAGCAAAAGAGGAGAAAACAGAGCCTGGTGCCAGGGCGGTAGGGACCGAAAAAAAAAAGGATTTGGCAGCGGTGGGATTCGAACCCACGCCCCCGAAGAGACTGGAGCCTTAATCCAGCGCCTTAGACCGCTCGGCCACGCTACCCAGTTAGAAAGTTGTTCTTCCGGGAAGCTACTTAATACTCTACCCAGCAAATTTCACTGTTTCTTATGTTTTATTTGATTTTGATGGACTTATTATGAACTTGTCATGTATTTAAAAGAAAATATTTGCTCCAATAATTATACCCAGATTTGTTCCAAATAGGTTTTAGAGCGAAAAGCAGCTTAAGAATCCGTGTTTAGAGTCGGCTGTTTAACCCGGAGACCCCAGGAAGAGCCAGGTATCTCCGGAGAAATGATGGATTCCCGCAGCAATTCGCCCCAGGGCCTCCGAAGACCAAACCCGGAGGAGGGGGTGTAAGCAGTTTTCTCTGAAGAGTTATGTGTTTTTTTAATTTTTAGTTACTCAAATAATAAGTGAATTATTGCAAGATATTAAAACTGCAGATAAGGTACAAATGCTCTTTTAACTTTGACTAAGTCCCATCCACAGAGGTAACCATTATTATCAGCTTAGTATCTATCTTTCTGGATTTTTTGCTGTGAATTTATGTGGATATTTTTGGATATATTCATATGGATACATAGATACCCATAGAGAATTGATGTTTTGTTTTTATTGTGTATGGCTTTTTACATAAATATTATCATACCATTACTCTTGATCTGCAACTGTTTTTCACCCAAATATGCTTTTAAAATCTATCCATGTTGATGGAAATAGGTATTTAAAAATACAGAAAAAGTACAAAGAAAAAATAATCACCCACATTTCCACCACCTAGTACTGTGGCATTTCATTTCCAATTTTTTTCCTATGTACATACTTTTCTTTTTTTCTTTTAAGATTTTTATTTATTTATTTGACAGAGAGAGAGCACAAGTGGGCAGGGTGGCAGACAGAGGGGGAAGGAGAGGCAGGCTCTCCACTGAGCAGGGAGCCGGACGTGGGGCTCGATCTAGAGACCCCGGGACCATGACCTGAGCTGAAGGCAGCTGCTTAACTGACTGAGCCACCTGAGCTCCCCTGTATGTACTTTTTATTAAAAGTTAATGATATGAATATGCTGTCCTTTTAAAAATCCATTTAAAAATATACTAGATCATTAAAAATTTTTTAAATAAAAATATACTAGACCATTACAAATTAAAAATAAAACCTCCTTCCCAAACATCCTCCCTTGGCTATGACTATTATTATGATTTGATGTGTATTCAATCCATTTTTTATACTTTCATATCTATATATTTATATCTATAGATACAGATATTTGTGTGTGTGTATATATACATATATTCTCATGAACAATATATAGAATGGTCTTCTGTATGTTTTCTATTCTCATAAATATTATTGTGCCAAGGTCATTCTGAAACTTGTTTTTCTATTCCAACATTATGAGGTCTATTACCAATGCATATAGATTTTATTCCATGATGTGAATACAAACATTTAAGTTGTTTATATTACATTGTTATATTTAAGTTTCTGGTTAATATCTAATTGGCACACACCCTAACATTTCACCCATATTTCTCCTTGCCTTCAATTCCTCCTCAACTCAGTTTTTTCCCCCCATCTACCTTTAACATAAATATTGATATGCAAAGATTTCATTGCATCAGGAGAGTTTGTGCTTTCAAAGGAATTCTTCAAAAATATAGAAGCATCCTTCGCTGCCTCCCGGTTCCTGGGATCAGCCGATGGCATGGGTTTTGGAGACCTGAAAAGCCCCGCCGGTCTCCAGGTACTCAACGACTACCTAGCGGACAAGAGCTACATCGAGGGGTATGTGCCGTCACAAGCAGACGTAGCCGTATTTGAAGCAGTCCCCAGCCCCCCAACTGCCGACTTGGATCATGCCCTCCGTTGGTATAATCACATCAAGTCTTATGAAAAGGAGAAGGCCAGGAGTGAAGAAAGCTTTGGGCAAGTATGGCCCTGCTAATGTGGAAGACACCACAGGAAGTGGGGCTACAGATAGTAAAGATGATGATGACATTGATCTCTTTGGATCTGATGAGGAGGAGGAAAGTGAAGAAGCGAAGAGGCTAAGAGAGGAACACCTTGCACAGTATGAGTCAAAGAAAGCCAAAAAGGGTGCCTGGGTGGCTCAGTTGGTTAAGCGACTGCCTTTGGAGCGACTGCCTTCGGCTCAGGTCATGATCCTGGAGTCCCAGGATCGAGTCCCACATCGGGCTCCTTGCTCGGCAGGGAGTCTGCTTCTCCCTCTGACCCTTTCCCCTCTCATGCTCTCTCTCTATCTCATTCTCTCTCTCAAATAAATAAATAAAATCTTTAAAAAAAAAAAAAAGAAAGAAAGCCAAAAAACCTGCACTTGTTGCCAAGTCTTCCATATTACTAGATGGGAAACCTTGGGACGACGAGACAGATATGGCAAAACTAGAGGAGTGCGTCCGAAGCATTCAGGCAGACGGCTTGGTCTGGGGCTCTTCTAAACTAGTTCCAGTGGGATATGGAATTAAAAAACTTCAAATACAGTGTGTAGTGGAAGATAATAAAGTTGGAACAGATATGCTGGAGGAGCGGATCACTGCTTTTGAGGACTATGTGCAGTCCATGGACGTGGCTGCTTTAATAAGATCTAAAATCTACATCATAGATCATTGCCCTTAAATAAAAGCTTAAAAGACAAAAATATATATATATAGAAGCAGCCATCTATTGAGGACACAGGCTAGCCATGGTGGGTCATTCAAAGCTAAATGAGGAATAGTCCTTAAGATCAATAGAAGCATTCATCTAGTCACAGTGTTTTAGTACCAGGAGGGACTTTGTGAGTTGTGTGCTGGGTTTTCCAAAAGGGAATATCCCCGTGGTGAAGGATAATTGCTGGAATATCTGCCTAATCTTGCTTTTCTAAGAACTGCTTGACCAGCCCAGAGAATGGATCCCTGGCAGTCACCTTGGCGGTGTGCCCTCCCCCACTGCCACACCATGGCCAGGGGGCTCTATGGTAGATAGACTCAGGTCAGACCAATCAGCTTCTCTTTTGAGAATATGAACTGAGACATGGTGACTTCCTGATTTGGTAATTTGACTGTTTTCAAGTGTTAAAATGTTAGTGTCTAAGACTGACTGGAACAAGGGAGAAAGGGAGATTTGGGGTGGCCACGTTTTGTGAAAGAGATTGGAGAAGTAGAGGAAGCCAGTGCATGGGGCTGGGGGTGGGGGGGAAGAATGATACGATGAGAACAGAGTCGTAGAGAAATCCTGAAGGTTTTCTGGATCCTGGCTCAAGGCCCTTCCTAGGACCCAGTGGGATTCACATTCTTGGAGACATCCTTTTATCATTGAAATAAATGCCCCTGTTCCGCTCAAGCTTGTGCTACCTGGTAGCTGTCCGTTGTAAGAAATGACCCCCCCCTGCCCTTGTATGGTAGGGGCCCTAAATGAAGCTAGAGGTATTTCTGACAGAACATTCTGGAGCAATTTAGGTCTGTCCCTACTAATACGTACTGAATGGGATACTTAACAGGGAGCCCACACAGATGCAGGCTGATTCTGGAAGGCAGATCCCAGGGCCTCCCTTTGGGAGTTTCTTGCAGTCTTGCAGCCCCCTTACACAGCTGTCTGTGACAATCAGATGTGAAACTGATAAGCAGGAAAAGCAGAATGTTGCATCAGAACTCCTGGACCCACAGGGAAGGGCTGAAATCCTGACCATCCCTTGGTGTGCCTACTTCTCTGCCCCTGGTTAATGGGGCAGGTGGAGGGAGGAAGCACCACAGATCAAACACCACCCATTTGTCCCCCACCCCCAATCTAGGGACTGTCAGGTGAAGGCTGGCTGTCTCTATAGCAAAAGCCCTCAACTGCAGGCAGTGAGGATGGGCGTGGGGGCTCAGTCCTGGATCCCCTCCATTCTTCACGCCCTTGCTTCTGTAAAAGGAAAATTATCCCAAACCTGGACTGAGACCAAACGTTTCTGCACGAATCTCTTTCTGGAAAGAAATGGACATTTCTCATAAAATGCTTAAGCTTCCTCTTATGAAATTTAATAGCATTGAGATTTATACTTCGAAGCTAGTTTTCTACCCACCCTTTTGAGGGTCATCTGTCAGTCAAGAGCATAGTAAACTTTTACTGAACATTCTTTTCTTTTCAATCATTCTTGTCCTGTAGACTGTGTCTAATAGGATAGAAGCCAAAAAGTGGTCACCTTGCCCCAGGTGGGGTGGGGTGGGTGGGGGTATATTGCCTGGGAAGGAGGCCCAAGGGAGCTTTCTGGCGTGCTGAAAATGTTCAAAAGTTCATCAAGTTGTACACTAAAGATTGTGCAATTTACTCTATAGAGGTGGTACTGTATTAAAAAGTCAATTTTTTGAAATCTTTCCTACTAAATATGAATCTTTGAATTAGCCTCCCAGAGGATCCACACTTGCAGCAAGATTGTAATACAATTTTGACATAGGCTTGCAACAAAACTATCTGAAAAGTTTCCTTTTAACACTCCCCTCTAAACTTCAGGGCCCTTTTCCTCTTCCTCCCCAAAGGGAACACTCTGTCTGGGTGAGAACTTGTTGCTTTTTTTTCTTTTTTTTTTTTTTAAGATTTTATTTTATTTATTTGAAACAGAGAGAGAGAGAAAAAGAGAGAGCACAAGAGGGGGTAGGGTGAGAGGGAGAAGCAGACTCCCTGCCGAGCAGGGAGCCTGATGCAGGACTTGATCCCAGGACTCCGGGATTATGACCTGAGCTGAAGGCAGTCGCTTAACCAACTGAGCCACCCAGGAGCCCAATAACTTGTTGCTTTTGCCTTCCCAGAATCCTTTCCCCCATTTTCTGGTTCCAATACTCATTTTTCCTTTGGGAAACACTCTTGCCTGTGGTCTAAGAGGAACAGTCAATCAAAGCTCTAAGGGGGCGGGCACAAGACCCAATTAGGCCAATCAGAAGCTTTAGCCTGGGAATCTGACTCTGAATCTGGCCCTCAATAGCCCTCAATAGGGCAGTAAACTGAACTTCCAGGCCATCTGTTTCCTCCTGCGTCCTGGAGTTGTAGCTCTTTCCGAAGCCTGATTCTTTCTTACCTTCCACTCTGTAAGTTGCTTCCTTCCCCCCAAATTGCTTCTTTGCTAAAGCTAACCAGGATTGAGTTCCCTACAACCAAGGCAACCACATGATCATGTAGGCTGCCCAAAAAGGAACTTTGTTCTTGCAGGAGACACACTTCAGTTGTGTGCAGAGCATACAACCTTAGCATGGGTCCCAGAGCACTTTTTTTTTTCCTGGAACAAATGCTTAATTAGAAGAAAAACTAGGGCATGGGCATGAACTAGGGCTCTCCCTGGTAAACTGGGACATGCTGTCTGTCACCTTACACCTTGACCACTCAAAGATCCATCTAAGTTGACAGGCCCAAGTGCGATGTCCTGTGTTGAGTCACACATCCAGCTTCAGGCTCCGCTGCTAGTGGCGCCTTTCCTCAATTCCTCTAAGCTTCAGTTTTGCAAACAAGCTCCTGGTGTCCCAGGAAGGTGCTAGCGGGTCATGGGAATAACACAGCCTCAGTTGTCATTATTTATGTTGGAGCAATGATGATATCTGATCTTAGAAACTTCCAACTTTTCTTCTTGATTAATGAAAACATTCTTAGCAAATGGTTTTGCCATAGGACCACACTAAGCCACCTTTTTCTCATCTGTGAAACGGTCACGATAATACAATAATACTGACGTTTGTTGCAAGGTTAGAGATAACTGTATGTGCCCAGCCCATTGTCTGACATACCGTATACTGTTGCTAAGACTTGTGTTTCACATTTTAATATCTCTACAATTGACCTGCATCCTGTGATGAATGGTAGGTGGTTTATTTACAGGTTTTATTTTTAACTTATTGATTCATAAAATAATGGTACATCTTAAGATCCATGCTGTCTTAGAGTCAATAAAACATAGTAGATGCTTGATACATTAATTACTATCATGAATTTTTAACAACAAATTCTTTTTTTTTTTTTTTAGGTTTTTCATTTATTTGAGAGGGAGCACAAAGGGAGAGGGAGAAGCAGACTCCTCACTGAGCCAGATGCAGGGCTCAATCCATCCCAGGACTCTGGGATTATGACCTGAGCCAAAGGCAGATGCTTAATTGACTGAACCACCCAGGTGCCCCTAAATTCTTACTTTGATAATTTTATCAAAGCCATACATGTGTGTATCAATTCTATAAGACTTGTTATCAAAATCAGCAGTATGCCTACCCCTTCCGCCCCAGGCAACCACTTTCACCTTTCAGCTGATTCTTCTGATATTTATCACCAAATGTCACAGCTTACATTGCTTTTGTTTTGGGGGTTTGTTTTAGACATTCCTGACTGGCTTCCTACAAAGGAAGGTAAGAATTGAACTGTAACCGTCCCTACTTCCACCATAGAAAACACTCCCTGACCCCAGTCCTCCAAATATTCATATTGTGACTTTATTTGTGTGGTAATTAGTAAATGGCACTCACTAAGCTTGAGCTCAGCCATACACTCAACTATTATTTTGCCCTTTCTGGAAAATGTTTATAGTTAACAATCGCCTGAGGAGAAAAATGTGTCTAGTTCCTATGAATTCGTACCTAACTCAATTTCAGATTGTCCATCCTTGCCACATAGACATGAAAGGTATTCTATTGCTTCAGTTTCTTGAAGACATTTCTCCCAAAGCCCCTTATCAGGCCATACACTTTTTTTTAAGTAAACTCTACTCTCAATATGGGGCTCAAATTCAGGACCCTGAGATCAAGAGTTGCATGCTCTACCAACTGAGCCAACCAGGCACCCCAACAGGACTATAAACTCTAAGTTGAAGGCAAGGCCACCATGTTGGGAATCATCCTTCACCCTTGGGGGTCTGATTTCACTTCAATCTGGTGCTGGACCCCATGCATTTCTTGTTATTCCCACACACTAGCCTTCCTTTGGTAGAGCAAACCTTCCAGTGTCTTCTGGAGAAAGAGTACATGAAATATTAATTTTGTTGAGAATTTATAGGTCTGAAAATGTCTTTAGTCTATCCTTATACTTGAAAATAGTTTAGGCATATGAATGTATGTTAAGGGCATTTTCCCCAGAATTTAGAAGGCATCATCTTCCAACTTCCAATGTTACTCTTGAGAGGATGTCTGATGTCATTCTGATTCACGATCCTTTGTATGAAACTGGTTCTTTCCTTCTGGAAGCTGCCAGGATCCTTTGTCCTTGGTGTTCTGAAATTTCATGAAGATGAATCTTGGCATAGGCCTCATTTTATACATTGTGTTAGGTAGTCATGGGCCCTGTTATTCTGGAAAACATACATCCTTCAGTTCCAAGAAATATTCTTGAATTTTTTTTTTTTTTAAGAGTCTCCCCTCTACTCTGTCAAACTCCTAAGTTAGGCTCTTAGATTAAAATTTTTTTCTTTAATTAAGACTGTTACACTTTTTTCCCCAGTAGATACTACTTAATATTAAGAGCTCCAACTCTCTAGAATTTAGTTTATAATTGGGAAAACTGAAAATGTACATTAAGTCAGAAAGAAGTGTGTAGGAAGAAAAGCAAGTGGATGTTTCAAATGGCTCATTAAAGGAAAATACCAGACCCAGTCCTAACCAGACTTAGGAGTTCCTTTTGGTAACCTGAAA